GGGAGCAAAGGGTCACAGTTAAAGACAGAACCTCATGGACACATGGGTCAAGAAGGAGTTCATCCAAATAGCTCCACTAGAAAGCAGCCAAGAAAAACGAGAAGACGGGTTAACTGCTGTACTGTGAGGAAAGAGAATGCAAAATATTTTCAATAACCTATATTTGTATTTATATTTATACACTCTCTCCTGCACATGGATTTTTTTTGGGCAAATTTCTTAAAGACTATACGGTCGTACTTGTTTTAACGGCCACCTGTACACCACAATCTCCTGCACAAACAACCACCTCCCATTTCCTCCCTTGCGTATTCTAGTTTTTTTCATAAAAAATGACACTATGTCAGACGTTCAGTGTTTAAAGACGGCAATTTTTCTCCTCGAATAATGAACGGCTGTCCCCGACAGCTTCGGCAGTGTTTCATTTTAAAAACAGGAGGAAGGGGTGTAAAAGATACAAAAAGTAAAAAACAACAACTACACTTATTTCAAAAGACGTTGTATAAAAGTCTATAGATCTATCTCGTAATATTTTAGGACGAGTACCTCCATGGTCCATCGTCATTGCAGGTGGCCGTTAGAGCACGTTCCACTGTATATATTATTCTTTCTCTTATTCTCTTCTCTGTATTGTATTGCAACAGTATGTGCAAACTAAACATAACCCTATATTATGTCTTATCCATGACGCAGTTATCGATTACAAGATATGTTGTAGGCCACAAGCTACACTACTGCTCTTCCGTGGAAGCCATACAACCGTGCGAACGGAGCAAATAGCTACCCTAGAATTACAAAGTTCTATCGGCTTAGTACCTCTAATTTTGAGAAACTTGAGGTTAAAAATTTTAAGTTTCATTACATGGCAAGCTTTTTCGAATGTAATTCTTAGAATATCTTGATAACGACTCCGAATAATCTAAAGATTTTGATAGGGCAGATAGAGTATATACTTTGGTTTCTGATCGCATGGTCTTGTTAACTCAAAACAGTCAAAAACGTTCTATAGAAGTTTGCAATTCCAAGGTAGCGAAATGCTAGCGTATGTGCTGCAACAGTCTGACTCTTTGAGGTGATGAGACAAGCAGAAGAAGTGAGTTCAATTCCCGCATGGGGAAATATTTTAGGACGAGTATCTCCACCATACGTCCATCTGATGTGATGTATCGCTTTCAGTCCGAGCAGGCCCTGAAGGGCATGCATGGTCGAAGCAGCCCGCGCCCTGAATGACTTTACTTGCGTCGATAGATGAGCAATGTTAACGGTCACTTTACAAAAGAAGCAACTCTCTACATCTTGGTGAAATACAATCGGCAGTTCAATGATAATTATGCTTGGCAAGATCAGAGACCGAGATGATAAAGTAAGAACCGCGAAATTTGTCTGAGAAAAGAGACGTACAGCGTTATGATTATGACAATACCGGCCATTATAGTTTTGTTTGTTTGAGTAAAAAAAGACACATCGAATAACAGTCATTTAGTGCTGGGAAAAAAATAAGTCAGACAGACAGACAGACAGACAGACAGACAGACAGACAGACAGACAGACAGACAG